GATATAGCTAATAAAGATGGTGCTTGCACAATTTTATAGCATTTAGGCCAGCATTTTTTTTTTTTTTTTAGGTTTACGAACATCAGAATGAAAAAGTCCCGTAGGAGGAGGAAATAAAAAAAATAAATATTTTTTGGGGATAAGTTATCGACTTTTGTACATTAATTTTTCTTCTTTTTTTATGCTCTCCTAACAGGCTCCATGCCACTGGACGCATAAGGATTACAGAGGGGAAAATAGAACCTTTGTTTATTTCATCATCTACCAGTTGGGGCCAGTGATAAATATATTTTGTTATGTTGGACAAAATACAGATATTTAAAAAAAATTCAATTTTTTAAAACTCTTTCAATATATCTTCATTTTTGTTTTTAATATGTTTTGGTAAATGTGTAGAAATTGTTCTAAAATATACTTGAGACCTAAAATAATAATTCCTTTCATAAAACAGACAGGGAGTATTGAGGAGTAGGGTGAAATTTTTTTAATTAAGTGTAAATTAATTTTTCTGGCTGCCACAAATGATACTACATACTTGTATATATTTGTATATAATACTTGTTTTTAACAGTTGAAGTATTTTATTTCTTTAGGCTATTGTTTATTTCTTCCTCAAATGGACTTAACTTCTCCCATAGTTTTATTCATTACATCTGATGCATAAGCCACCCTTTTCTGAAGAATGATGCTTATAAGACTGTAAGCTATAACAGAAACTTAAACAATATCTCTGACAAAAGCTACCATGGACAGTTTTAAACCTGTAGGAGGAAAATAATTTACAGACAGATACTTTTGAATACGGATACATAATTATCTCACCAGCATGTCATTATGCAATAAAGTCACCAGCATTTTATTTGTCCCCTGAACTTGTGAAACGTTTTGAATGGCACTGCTATCGATAAATATGAACATTAAACAAAGATTTAGTGCTGCTATGGACTTTGCAAATCTACGTTCATTACCCGCCATGTTCATCTAAAACCGGAAGTACGACTTCGTAAATTTGAAATCTCGATCCCGACTCAAATTTGACACCGGAAAGAAAAAATTCTGTTTTTCTCAATTTTATTTTTTTTTTTCTGAAAATTCAAAAACTTAAGCGGCGGGTTTGTAAACCTAAAAATAAAAAAAAAATGCTGGCCTATACTTAAATGTGTTTTAAAGCTATTGTTTGGCCATCGTTAGGCTGTATGCACAATCCAAAATATAATAGTAAAGCTAAAATCTTTCAAATACAAGTGCGTAAATAGGAATGATTTAAACATAATCTCTGGACGTTAATTTAGAAAATGTAGTTCAAATACAGAAATTAAATTTAGAATGATGTTCTATACATGTATTATAAACCATAACATCGCTGCAATATTCAGTTCAATCAATAATAGAATTATTTTATATGACTAGGGAAGCAATTATTTTCACGTGTCTTTCTTATTTTCATTTTATAATCAATGGCACCAACACAGTTCATCAAAATTTAAAAAAAATAAAAATAATAATAGACAGAATTATGTTTCTTGGTGTAGTTTACTTGCGTGCCAAATTTTACTGACGCAGAGTAAAAATGTAGGAGTAGCGGACACACTTGACAGAAATTTCTTTTTTTTAGTTATGGCAACATTGTGCATATATATAGAATATATGGGTCTTGTATGCCAGGTTATACGGAAATCAGACCACAACTGTAGAAGGAGCAGAGTTTTGAAGAATTAATAACAGACGGACGGACAGCTTGACAGACGGACACCTTACTATCGTATAAGCTCTTGTAGTCTCTGAACAGTACAGCTAAAATTGATAAGTTGAAAAATATTCTGATGTACATGTATATGTCTTTTACTCTGCTATTTTAATAAAAATGGAACTCGTAAATTTACTTCCCTTATCATTGATTATTTGCAAAATTATTTTGTTAAAAACCATTCTGATTGTATATGTACAGTGAAGTGGACACTAAAAAGATGCTTGATTTCCTGATTGACAATATCTATGTGGTTTTTGGAGACCAGGTCTTCCAACAATCTATTGGAATTCCCATGGGTACGAAATACCCTCCGTTATTAGCAGACCTATTTTTGCATTCATATGAAGTAGAATTTGTGCAAAATCGTATGCGTGAAAAGAAGAAAACACTTACTGTGGCCTTCAACTCAACATTTAGATATATCGACGACGTATATTGTCAATAAACAATGGTAATTTCCATTCCTTTGTCGATACGATATATCCTGGTGAGTTTGAGATAAAAGATACCACAGAGTCTGATACATCTGTTTCATACTTGGATATTTTACTTGAAAAGACGTTCATGGTAATCTAACAATCAAACTCTATGATAAACGTGATGACTTTAATTTTCCTATCGTCAAACTTCCCTTACTTGTGCAGCAATATACCTTCATCACCTGCATACGGCGTTTATATATCTCAGTTGGTTCGATATGCAAGAGCATGCTCTACGTATGAACAATTTCTAAAACGAGGTAAATTATTGACAAACGAAATTGATGAAACAAGGATATGAGCAGTCTCGTTTAAAGTTATCATTTCGTAAGTTCTTTGTTCGATACAATGACCTTTTTAGCAAAAACAATTTATCAATGAGTCAATTACTGACTGACGTTTTTCATACTAATAGTTAGTTCATTATTTATACACTGAATTGACGATGGACTTTTCCGTGACCAGTCGGCAGGGGATGCACCTTCGTGGCAGAAGATCCCACTTCTGATGTTTTGGAGGTCCGTGTTTGCTCTGCTCCTATTTTGTATTGTTTTATGGACTTTGATATTGAATAATGTTTGTATCCTCCATTCTATATCAGTGGCTAGAAAATGTCAGTATGTACAACTACCTCTTTTCTTTAGTATGTAAGTGTTGAAACAGTGAATAAAACGGTATAAAATTTTAGATAGATACATGTAATGAATGTATCTACCCGTGTGTGACATTGGTTTTGGTCACTTTCGAGGAATATCTATGGAATAACATTACTTGCATTATTTTCTGATTGCCCCTCGTAAGCTGAGCTTGAAAATATTATTCCAAGATACTTAAATTCTTTTAAATTTTCAACTGCATTATTATTATAATAATAATAAAGGCTTTTTTGAAATTTGTGTATCATCTGCTATTACAAGATGAACAGCTTGAGATACACATATAATTCTTCTCCAATAGCGTCAGTTATGCTTTGCAAACCAATAATATTTCTGTCAGAGAGAAACTCATCAATGTCATTTATCTATTCCCCGTTTTCAAAAGGTGAGTTATTTCCCCTGAAGGGAACTCTTTTACTGTGTTTAATACGCATGCGCTATAAATAAAGTCACTTCCGCGGACGTTCTTGATGTAAATATGTTCATAGTGTAGCCTCTGTCATATGGAAAAATGTTATTGTGTTTGTGAATAAAAAGAAATCTTAACTGATTCGGAATTTTTTTAATTGCCCACTCATAGTCTCTTTCTGGATTTGTATTAATCTGTGTAGTACTATAATAAGGTGCTGTGTGACTGACCCCCCCCCCCCTACAAAAAAACCCCAAACAAATTACTGATAAAATACTGATACATATTCGAATAGGCCTTTTAAAAGAAAAAAAAAGCTAATAAGGTAATTTTCGGTAGCGGATGTTCTGCAGACGGATCATCATTATTTACAAAATGTGCGGAACAAATTTTTAGTTATAAAGTTTTTACGAATTAATCTAACCTGCTGCAGCCATATTTTCTTTGTATCTCTAGGAATTTTTGGGAGACTGATGACATGTCCATCTACAGTTTTACCTCTGAAATTGCTGCATATACAGCAGTAGTTCGTCTTCCGCGACCGATACCAAGAAACTGCGTTTTTGCTCGATTGTATGTCAGAACAAAGAACTTTTACTTACAAGAACACATTTGGTGACAATTAAAGGCCTATTTCATTTGAATTAACAGTGTTTCTAGAATTTTTTATTTGTAAAATAATTGATTCACTATATAGTATTAAAACTTTGAATGGAACTCTAAATGAATAACTTAATTTCATGTCCTCATGTAACGAAGAAAGACTAATTAAAATGGCATCGACCTGAATTCGTGTTACATATTTCGTATAAAGTCTGAGCTGCATTCAAGGGGCTTAGTCCCACCCCCACTTTTTTCCCAATATTACTTTTTCTATTGAAAATGTTCATTGATAGACAGGTTGCCACCCCCCCCCCCCCCCCACACACACAGTTAATATACTACGGTAAAGTTATATAAGGGAAATGTAGTATTGTATGCCAAGGAACTGGTGCTGAAATAAGTAGCTTTTTCAACTTTGGGCAAGGTTTTTCTTTGCTTGTCAACTTTTCCAGGTAAGAAAAAAAATTCTTTGGCCCTCCCCCCCCCCCACTTTTAGAGACGATGCCACGTGCCTGGCTAATTCGTATAGCTTTCTAGAAAGGGGGGCGGGGCTAACAGACCCTTTATAAAACAATTTATTATCAAAAAAAAAATGCAAACCGTTTCCTTCTTTTAAATTTTTTAAATACAGCGTGTAAGTTGATCACTATTTTGTTGGATTATGTACTGCGTAGTCCGCGGAAGTTAGGCGAGTGTAGAAGAGTTCCAATTTTTAGGGGAGATAACTCACTTTTGAAAATGGGGAATAAGTAATAAAAAGGAGACAGATTTTCACCTTGGCGAACACCAACATTGCATTAAAAATAATCTGTGATTGTGCTATTTCGACAAATCAGAGATTTAATTCCTATATACATATTTTGATGTTATTGAAACATTTACCATTGTTAATTGCTAATTAAGGTTAATCACGTTTGAAGCAGGGAAAGCTATTAAAAAGGCGGCGTGAAACTAAGATTTTCACAATGCTTGGATCTGATACAGAAGCTCTCTGGTTTATCGGTTTAAATTTTCTCAACCAGAGCCGAGGCCTGCATGTCTGCAGCAAGGATCTGTCCCATGTAAATGCTGAAAGCTTTAGCTTTATATCATTTATTCACAATGGTTATTTCAAATAAAATGTAAAAAATACAAAGTAAAAATGAGTGTGTAAAAAGATTATCATATTGTTCTCCTTAACGTAGTAAAATATCTTTAAGTTGTCACTAAATTCGGGGCGGAAAACAGAACAGCTAAAGTAGATATTACAGTAAAGGTCACACAAATCCAGAGACAAAGGCGGTCAATCACCATGGCAGCGAACCGCCACTCCCCCCGCACTATCACTTCCTCCTCCTCTCTCTTACACCTCGTTGTAATTTTTCTCAGTTCTCTTAAAATCGATAAAAGGTCTGATTTTGTGCTTAGGAATGGTGAATCTCCGGGTTTGGGGACAGCTCCGTTTTCCATTCGGATTTCATCCTCAAATTCTAGTCCCGATAGCAGACACCTCGATTGTCGTTCTTGGACCACGATGTCATGGAGACGCGTCCTCTCTATCGTATCGTTTGTGTGTTTGTGTTTTTGTTGTCCTGGACGTTTCATGAATAGTAGCCAGGCAAGTCGTCCGTTGATCCATTCGTTTACCTAAGTTTTAAAAGACTTTGAAGACCAGTATTCTTTTAAAATCAAGAAATTTGACACAATCACAAAGTTTATATATTTATTTTCAAGATAAAAATGAAAGGTAGAGATAACATACTGGCTGAAATACCTCCAATATGACGTTAACTATAATTTATTTATTAATTTATTATTATAACAAGGGGACTTTAAAACATGTGAGTTAAAATACAACTCAGCGCTCGGTTGTATTATGACAATCATAGATTTTCCTTAATTCTGACTTTAACCAAAAATGGATAGAAAACCCTGTAAAACTATTCATTTGTTCAGGTTGGTAGACTTATTTATACCGTATGCAAAATATGGTTTAATATTACCCCATAAATTGTGGAAGATCACAGTAGAAAAGTTGAAATCATCTGTTTGTCATTACATGTAGTTTAGGTCTGTCATTAACGTTTATCGTCAGTTTAACATCAACATATGTATCACATGTCAAAAACATTCTAATGTCTTTTATTACTACTTCATTTGGAATACTTGGAGTCGAGACATGATAGTATAAATATAAACGTCGAGCTGAAGTACAACAGTATTTTCCCCCAAGTTCTTGAATAAATACACATCTATTTTCCCATAAAGATTATATAGCAGCTGATAAGCCTTAATGCTTTTCCAAAATAAAAATGCATACTTCTTACCCAAGAAGGGATACTGTGAGTTTCTGGTCCCCGATAATGGAAATTAAGAACGATAACTGTGAACATCATGGACATGGAACACATGATCATGATACAGCAGAAATATATACCTGTAAGATAAAATTACAAAACTTTGGTAAAATTAATACCTGTAAGATAAAATTTCAAGATTCAGGTAAAATTAATACCTGTAAGGTAACATAAGTACAAGACACAGGTAAAATAAATGCCTGTAAAATATCATAATCACAAGATTAAAGTAAAATAAATACCTGTAAGATATTATAAGTACAAAGTTCAAGTAAAAGTGCATGATAAATAAATACAAATAATACAATGCAATGTGACCTGAATTTCATTCATTCCTATTTTTAAAGAGTATGAATTGGCGAATTAGAAGTATTTCAATGTGCATGAGACGTAATGTACAATTTCTTCAAGCCTTGAGATTATGATTATGCTTAATTGAAAAAAATACCCTTCTGCATCGTAAATAAGAAAAAATAATGTTAATGAGGAAATGACACTGATCATAAACTATAGCACTAATTAATTACGAAATGAACTTCTGAAACACTAGGTTCAATTTAAAACCACAACACTTTAATCACGTGATTAGTGATATGCGTGATCACGTGAAATTACCTACCAATCAAAGGAACAGCGTCAGAAGTGGGTGGCATCGTCTCTGCTACCAGTAACAGGAATACCATAAGAGACAACAGAATCGTCACTCCTGTAATTAATTAATGTAATTAGTGTTGAAGAATAAACACTGCAAAGTAATTCTGGTTAAGTCTTTTTGCCGACATGTTTATTCCATTTAATGAAATTAATTGGTTTATAACAGTGGGACGGACAACTTCGGAATGGACATTTTTCCGAACTTGCGCACCCTTTTCCTTTAAAGCTATCATCTTA